ACAGTAGAGGCCATGGCTCGGAAGGGAACGTCGACATCGCTAGATGTTACAGGTTCTATGCATAGTCCATCATAGGCGTTATCCTCGTGGATGACGTTCGCACCAGCTCCAGAAGGGATAACCGTAGAGTTAGATGGGGGTGTTTGAGGAGGAGTAATCTTTTTAGATTTCCCCTTACCGAAGTCTTTCTTAGGCTTAGGTCCCACCTTCTTCGGTTGATCTGCTGGTGTAGGAGCAGTACAGACATACGCTAGATGTCCCTTCTTCAGGCAACGTTGGCAGAATAACCTGTTGACTGGGACCTTGCAGTCTGTCTCTTGATGCTCTGGATTGCCGCACTTAGAGCATCTTTTCTGTAGATCGACCACCTTGGGCTCAGTACAGAGTCGAGCTGGGTGACCGCTCTGGAGGCACCGATAGCACTTTATAGATAAGGCATCGCTGCCAACGGCATGGCAATAGGTCTCTTCTTGAGGATCGTCTTCACACTCGATGACATGTAGACGACCTGTCGATTTACCACTGGGCTTGTTGACCGTAGATGAGCGTTGGAGTCGGCCCTGCCGCCTCCTCTCATGCTCTGACAGTCGATCCACAAATTTCTTATATGATATTTTGTGGTTGCCCACCTTGGTCTCGACCTTCTCCTTCAGATCGTTGGATGATAGACCATCATACAGACGTCGTTTGAGGGTAGACTCTCTCGGCCCAGCTCGTAGATATACCAGCTCGTCAGCTAGAGTTTCTAGCCTTGATATGAACTGGAATAATGTCTCGCTAGATCGCTGGGTACAAGTGTTGAATTTGTACTCGGCTCGAGACAAAGCCTCATCCGTGTCGAAAGTTTTGCGTAGTTTACGACAAAGTCGACGTAGATGATGCTCATAGCTTTGATGACATCTAGCCGGTGGCTCGGTCGCATTAGTTAGCTTACGCCATAGACCGGCATCGATGTTATTCTTAGCCCATAGATAACGGGTGACGGCATTGTGACCCTCCATAGCGAAGTCGATCTCACGGCAGAACATAGTGCCGCTTCTCTCGTCATCATAACCGATGAACATAGATTTGGATTTGGCCTTAGCAGCATTAGATGCCGCTGAGTCGAAGTCCTTGTCAATAATGCGTGAT